GTGAGGAGTTAGGAAAAGGAGAATCTGTGAGGAGTTAGGAAAAGGAGACTCAGTGAGGAGTTAGGAAAGGAGACTCTGTTCTGTGACTTTGTATTTTCTCGGCTCTGCTCTGGAGTTTTTCTACTTTCAGAAATAAATGAGTTTCACGCTGGGAACAAACATTCAGGGATTTTCTTTCTCTCCTATTGTTGAAGTGTAGAATTAGTTTAACATAGTTTGATTATATGTATTTATTTTTTAGTTATAGTTACTTTATCTAGATTTCTGTAGATGTGATTTGGCAAATAACACAATGTAATTAATTAAATAGTATTGGAGATCAAAATATTTTCAGAATGTTGGAAGACAAATGTGGGACTATCTTTCCAAGAGAGGACTAGAAGACGAGACGTGAGGACAAGAGCAGAACAACTGATCCTCTGGAGCCAGAAGACAGAATCATTGTCCTTTTTGTTCCTCTTGCAGGTATTTTGTCAAAGTGTCTTGGGGCTGGACGCTGCTGCTGCTGACGCCCTTCATCCTCCTCTCCAACTCCTCCTTCAGCAGGAGCGCCTCCTTCCTCGGCCGGCGGCTTCTGTCTCTGGCGGTGGCGACGTCCGTCTGGTACATCTGCACGGAGACATTCTTCTACATCGAGGACGTGACCGGCTCCTGTTTTGAAACGGCTGCCATGGAGGTCATTAACTCGGAGTTCACAGCCAAAGCCGCCTGCAGGCGCGCCGGCTTCCACTGGTGGGGCTACGACATCTCAGGACACTCGTTCATCCTGTCTTACTCCACCCTCTTCATCGTGGAGGAGATGGCTCCCATGGCCTCAGTGAAGACAGCGGGTCTTTCTCCTCTGCTCAGGTTGGTTCTCAACCTGCTGTACGTGGCGTTGAATCTGATCGTGACCCTCTGGGTGTGGATGTTCGCCTGCACCTCTGTTTACTTCCATGACGTGGTACAGAAGTGGCTGGGGACCACGTTCGGTCTGTTGGGCTGGTATCTCACCTATCGGGTTTGGTATCTGAAACCTTTGTCCCCAGGACTCCCCCCCCAGCGTCACCCAAAGGAAAAGAAGCAACACGCCTAAGCTGCACTCAAACTCTCCCGCACAACATTGTTTCTAACATTTCCGACACACTACAGTTGATGTTATGTCCCCAGGTCCAAGCTGGCCGCACTATTTTAAGTTATAGAAAGGTCGTTTTGTAGAGGAGGGCTGGCTCGGAGTTCCTCCACAGTGTTTGGCAGCTGCTGTTCCCAAAATGACTCTTTGTAATCTGAGATTAAAGCGAGACGCTGCTCCCGTGTCCTGCTTCTCACATTCAGTCCTGCACTGAACTCCACATATTCTCCGGAGGATTCATCATCTCGCCCGTGATGATGAATCCTCCGGAGAATCTCCTGCTGTGTTCTCACACGGGGGGGGAACAAACTCCAAAGAAAGTCCGAACCCGGTTGTGCGGACATTCTCCAGAGAGCGTGTGGTTCTCGGGCTGCGTGATTGTCGGTCTGACAGTTTGTTGCCTTGTAATATTTTTTTTCCTCACAGATGAGTAATCACAGTTTTTACACATGTGCGTGGAAACTCTAGAGAATGTTTTCTGCTCTCGTTTATTTCTGCAGATCAATGTTCATTGTTTATAGGAAACAAAGTGAGATCAGACCAGAGGACATTACTTTTCATCCCACAGATTTTAACGAGCTGTTTTTTTTTTTTTTACACACATGTGGTTTGAGGCTGCTGTGACTTAACTAGATCGTTTAACTGTAGTTGTAGGCCAGCCCTGCAAGTACAAAAATATTATTCAAATACTTCAGAGGATAAGGCTGGAAATATTCAGTAAGTATTATAGTATTCAATTATTTAGGGCTGCATCGAACAAGTATTTAAATTAAGAATATGAAATATGAATACAAAAAATGTCACTGTTCCAATGGTACAAAATCCCAAAAAATGTAGTTTAATTGAAATAAAAGCAGAAAGTTTCGTCACTGTAAAGATAAAACTTAAGAATATTTGACTTTTTGTCCTTGCTACCAAAAAAATGTAAACGATAAATATATGTTTAAAACATTTGTTATGTTCTTTTTTCAGCTGAAATGTTTCACCTCTTTAACTATAAAGTAGTAGAAGTATAAATAAGCTAAGCTGAGCTAATTCCTCTCTGCCACAGACCTCCGTTGTTTTCCACACTGATGGTGTTGATCCACAGTTGTTGATTTGTAATCTGACATGAACCATGATCATCCATCTGTGTTTGAGTGAAGGTTATTTAAAAAAAACCACTGTGCCTGGTTGTTTTACAAAGTAGTTCAAACTTTTTAAAGACTTGAACTACATTTGCCAAACGTGTTTGTTTGATATTCGTTAGCAGAAAAATGCAAAAGGTAACTGAACTGATTTCCATGCAGGGGTGGAGCATGTTCCAATAAAGAATCTGTTACGTTTCTTTGCACATCCAGGATTTTCTTTTTCACGTTCTTTTGATCTATAGGCTGAGAATTTCTGTGAACAGAGGAGATTTTGTGCAGATCTGGATTATTCCGTGTTTTCAGTGAAGGGATCTTTATTCAGTAAATGTCTTGTTTTGCGTGTTTGTGGCAAAGTAACAACCGGATTCTTCACATTCCATTTTCATTATTTATTTGTCATTGATGGCAACTGAATAAATTAAGGCTTATGAACAAACATCATAAAAAGCACCATAAATAAATGCATATATATAGAAATATAAAAAATAAAAAGTAAAAAATAAAAAAATACTATAGTGAAATATAATGGCCACAAATCACGACTGGGACTCTCGACTTGAACTCTTTGTGTGATCCAAGAAGTTCAGCTCCGACCCCTCAGGTTTCAGTCAGAAGAAGCAGTGGAGTCTTAGGAGTGCTCGCAGTCATCAGAATGTACCGAGCTGGTAATGACGTGTCGTTGCCCTCAGTTAACAAAGTAAGTGAATGTTTTTGCATCATAAAATCAACGTAAATGAGAATCATTCTAATTATTTGACTTAATCAGAGGATACCTTGCACCCGAGTGCCCTCCTGCTTACTGCTAATACTTTTTAAATCTTCTCCCATGTGCCGTTTACGTGCAAGAAGCCAAACAACCTCCCTGTTCCCTTTAATGCATAATCCTGATTGTATATAATGTATATTCTTAACTCCAGTCTGTCCCTGCACCCCAACAACAGCTTCTGCTCTTCTGGAGGAACTCCCCTAATGAAAATCAGATTTAATTGTGGGTTACAACACCGCACGGTGATGCTGCGATTAAAGGAGCACTGATCATCGTCGTCTTTGGTTCAACGTTGTCCTCCGCAGCCGCAGCGTGCTGCTAACCACCACCTGTAGCAGGCGAAAAACTCCCATTAATCACCTTCATCGTGCGAGGCTCGAGCCCAGCAGCCACGCCCCTCCTCAGAAAAGCTGCACCGCAAGAATGTCTGTGTCTCCAGCTTACAAACTCCAGCCGGTGCCTCGCACCATGAGTCAAACCTAAAGAGCCACGGTTCAGGGGCAGGAGGTCTGACTAAAGAGCAGGAAGGTTAAACAGAAAGAAACACTGCATCGACAAACAACGCCACGGCTGGCCACACGGAGGGAATGGCTTTTTTCAGTTTTTTTTTTCCTCCTTTACCCTTCAGATGAGTCAGCTGTTTCCTCCCCGCTCAGTTCCCCTTACTCACCCTTTGAGCTCATTAAAAATTCAGCACGGTAAAATAAACGAGACGACGCATAATTAAAAATATCTATCTGTAAAAACAATCTTGCATCTGTCAGGGGGAGTTGGCGACAAACGGAGAAACAGCAGTGAAGTATTGCTGGGGGGGGTGGGGGGGGGGGGCGTTCTCCAACACGCGGGACAGGGCCGGTGCTTCAAAGGTCACGTTAGGCAGCGGGAACATTGAGAAATCTGTGGTTTTAATGTTTCGGAAGTGATCGTAAACTCTGCAGACACCGAATCCTCAGTGCTCACTCGCCTGGACACGCTTACACAACAAGAAAAGAACCCATGCAATGAACTACACATCCTAAACCTAAACGCAACACAATCGCACCATCGATGCAGAATTTACAATGTGACCACCGAGGTTCAGCCGAGTGCAACGTCTCAAACACAAAAAAAAAAAGATTCCTCCTCCCGTCTGAACTCCAGCTCAGAGACAAAGAGCGTGACAGTGGACCACCGTGTGCTGAGTGACCTGTGGTGCTCCAAACTAACTGAGCGCACGTGTGTGTCTGTGTGTGTGTCTGTGTGTGTCTGTGTGTGTGTGTGTCATTGTGTACAGTGATTGAGAGGAATCGTTTGACATTTTGGGGAAATACGCTCGTGTTCCGTTTGTTCGTGAGCAAGATGACACCAAAACAACGGATTTCCCAAAACCTGGTTGATGACTCCGGGAAGAAGAGCATTTTATTTTTGGTGCACATCTGTATCTGGACGTTCGACAGCAGATGTGATTGGTTGTTTGTCTCTGTATGTGTTGACCCTGTGATACGCTGATCTGGATCAGGGGACGGATTCAGGATTTTCCCTTTTTCACTTTCTTCAACATTGCGAGATAGAGCGTTCCTTACATATTCACACGCAGACTAGATTTTGGGGTCGGTTTCCAGTTTGACCAATCACGTCTGAGCTTCGGTCGCCCGCAGTCGGTTTGAAGAGCAAATGAGTCCGAACAAATTCAAATTCAACTCCGGACAGCCGTTGATAGGACATTGTGCGGAGAGAGGTTTGACTCGAGGGATAAAGTAGTTGGAGTGTAACCGTGTCTCAACATCCTTTCGGAGGAGGTTGTCTACGCAGCCCACGACGGAGGCGGCCTTCGTTGGCTACGTTGACTGAAACCAAACGAGACAGTTTTGGTCTACGGAGGTTTTTTTCCAGATCTGCATCCACTGCTCATCTTGCTCTCATTGCTGTTGCCTAGCAACAGAACCGAAGTTGGACACGATGAGAAAGTTTTAATGGGTTTTTCAATCACGTGTTCCGTTGTCTCGTCGCCTGACGGCACCGTTAACGATGACAGGATGTATCTATGTGTCATTTGGCTGCATTTGAAGGATCCAGGATCAGTTCAGTCGCGGTTCTGTGAAACTTTCTCGGTGTAAAGCAAACAGAAGACGGAGTCTTGGTGTCGGATACCCTCTGTCTACACCGGGGGGCCCAAAGCTTTGGCCTCGGGGGGACTGTCGATCCTTGGCGTAGGTTTGAGCTCTGCTAAGTACCATTCAAATTTCAGATTCAATCAGTCGCATCAATCTTCTCGTCTAAGTTTCAACCACAAACAAAAGGAATTAGCACATTTCCCCAACATGTCAAACTATTCCAGAACAGTTTGCCTCCGTTCTTTCAAGGTCTCGTCTGGCAGTTTCTGGCAGCGCAGCTCTTCTCGTCGCGTCCGTTTTCCTGTGGTTTGACTGGTGAAACCTCAGGCAGCTGGAGGCGTGGTCAGCAGGTATAAGTAACGACTATGGAAGTGGCATGCGAGGGTCAGTTAACCCCGGTTGGTGCGACTGCGTTCGACATTTTCGTCTGGGTTTCTACGTTAAGTTTTCAGTGCACGTGGACCTGCCTCCAACTAAAGTCAAACGAGGACTCCTCGCGGGCGCAGGAGAAGAGCTGCGAGTTTCCACAAATTAAACTTGATGAAGGTCTTCGTTACCAGAAAATGTGCTGTCGAGAATTTCTTATCATGGAATGTTTTAATATTTCTTTGTTCGCCCAGGTAAGTAATAGTGTTCTCTATATAGATTCATTATGTTTTCCTGCAGTCATAAAACGTTACAGAAAAATTGAAACATCACACAAATACACAGACATTTAACACAACAAGAGGGCATTCACTACATGTATTTCTTTTTTAAAAACCAGTAGGCAAAGTAGCCCATCCCCCCCAGCGAGCCCATGAGAAAAGAGGCGCCGAAGAAGGACGGCGGCTTCTTTTTTACCATCCGAAAAGCGTTGGGTAGGACCGCGGACAGGAGGGTCGTGTGGATGTCGCCCAAGACCTTCCGGAAAGCGTAGCGTTTTTGCACACGCATAAAAAAGGACTGCAGGTTGGGTCGGCTGCCGTCCTCCCAGTATTTCTTAGAAAGTCCCAAGAACTTGAGCCTGTGCAACAAGGCTCCGAGGCAGATATCAGCTAGCGTAAATTCAGGTCCACATAGCCACAACTCACATTTCTGACCTGCAGAGGAGGACGGACAGAGGGACAGGGACAGAGACAAGAGAGAGAGAGTGAAGTTGGAAATGTGACGACGGTGTTTTTGTGCCACTGTGATAAAAGATAATAATCGTGTGGATGTACCTTGATACTCTAGTTTCCTTTTCTCCAGTTCAGCCTCCACTTGATCGAGGACCATGGCTAACTCTCCCAGAATTTTCTTCAGGTAGTTCACATTGTCGTGGTCCAAGATCTTCGCCTGTTGATCGCCACAAAGAAATGACGTAAAACGGCAAAACGAGAAGTTGCAGTTAGTCGTTTGTCCGTCACGCCCTCGGTGCGGAGGTGAGAGAGCGCTACACGGACTCGCACGGTGACTCACCATGAGCTTTTTCTGCTTGGACAGGTACGGTTCTGTCAGCTGAGGCTCCTCGTGGTCCAACTTCATCAGCTCCGTCGCAGCGTTGGCCAAGTGTCCTGAAGTCACACACACACACACACACACACACACACGTGTTTGTTATAGGTTCTGTCCTGATGTACATGTGTAGTCTGGAGAATCTGTCACTTTAATAACATGTCGTTATGAGGTCATGTACATGGACACACGTGCTAAAGCTGCTGTCATGAAGCTAAGTTTCCTCATCCATGCTCTCTTTGTGTCTCATGTCGTCGGCTGTGGTTCAGGTTAATCTCACAGTTACAACACCAGGGTTTTACTGTGTCAGTCGTTCTGCTGCAGGAGTCCGTGTAGTCTGACCGCTGCAGCTGAGACTGGACGGATACCTGCTGTGATGTGCAGCACAAACCTGGCATCGCTACACTGTGCTGCATTAAGGCTTTTCAGTATTGAGCAGCAGCATCAATTTATACAGCATGCTAATCTTGTCTTGCGCATTTAAAAACAGGGATTGGTTCGTCCGTGCTGTGGGAAACGCTGTGAGGACGATGACCGGCTCTGCGGGCATGACGTTTATTTTTTGTTTTCTGCTTAGGGAGACGAGCTCGTCCCTGAATTTGAGGCTGATTCACCCCAAGTGCCTGTAAATGTTCAGAATAATGGATTCAAAGCAACAAAATCTGTTTCCATTATGAGTTATTACGACGAGCTGGCTTCACTTACTCCGTATTTCTGCGGTGGCGTACTTTGGGATCATAGAGTCGATGGTGAGCTCTGGATGGAGGATGCAGCCGTGCGTGTAAGCGTCCATGGGCAGTCCATCCAGAAGCTGACGGTACTGCTGCACGCGATCGTGGAGGGGCGATTCAGCCTCAGGAATCAGCGGAGCCACTGCGTCTGTGGGCAACATGGAGATGAAAACATGTTAACGTGGCTCAGAGCCCTGACGTGGCTAACACTGGTATTATAGTTCCATCAACACCTGAGGTTTCCAAGCAACCATCATCCAGTTTGGTGCTGCACAAACCCAAAATAACACACGTCTGCCCACTTCGGCCGTCAGATAGACACACAGCGTGGTAACCAGGTAACAGACGACTCCGCTCGCGCTCTTTAAAAGCTTGACATTTAAACAACTCTGTGGAGAGAGTTGAAAAACATCTGTAGGAGATCGACGAGCTTCTCTGAGCGACACCCTGAAAGTAGAATCTCCTCAACGGAGGTAATAAAGTAAAAACAGTAAACATCTCATATTTTTTCTGAATAGAGATTTTAATGATCGGCCACAATAATTTAACAATCCGAGGAAGACTCACCTCCAGCCACGAGATCGTGAGACTATAGATTTTCTTCAACTGAGTAAATTAATGAGAAATGAACTTCTAGTGCCAGAGCTGCTCTCCAAGTGGAAACTCACCGTTTCTCTCTATTTTCCACTAAAACACAAGACACACACGATATTCTGCTCATGCACGAGTGAACTGTCTCATTTCATCCGGAGAATCTTGAAAAAAACTCATCTTAAACCGTTTGATGGCTCCAGAAAGCTGAGTCATCAGTCCTGCGGCCGTCCTGCTGACCCGTGCATGCCAAGCAAGCAGTGGTCCTGTAGGTGGGCCGCTGCAGCACAGTGGTGGAAATGTCACGTCAGCGGATTAAGGCCAAACCCATCGGAACAACAACCCGGGACTCTGTCGGAGGCAGGGCTGCACGTTCAGTTATAACGAGACAGTTATAACTGTCATCTGCAGTTTCCAGGCTGCAGCTCTCAATGGCAACACCCAGCAGGGACTTACATGCAGGGAGGGAGAAGCTCGTCTGTGTCTCAGCCCTCCCACTCCAGCCTGAAAGCACGAGGTCAAACATTGAACAAACAAAAAACGCTATTACAGAGAACTCTGGGAAGTACTGAACGGTTTTATTTTCCAGAGCAGCATCACTGGGCTGAAATGAGAAGAAGACGTCAGACACCAGGGACGATCTGGGCCTTCCAGACTTTTATTACCGTGAGCAGTGAACCACATCTTCTCCGACACTTTCAGGCATCGCTGCTCTGAACGACTGAACACTAACTAACCTGAGAGGAGGGAAATCTCCGACACCGTCCAGCGTCCCTCAGGCCATTTGTGATGTGAGGCTCCCAGGACGTTATGTAACACTACAATGTCTCACGTGACGTTACGAGAGGACACGACACCCACAGTAAACACTGAAACACACATGACGCCACGTTAGCGTCTGTTGTTATTCACTCACTGCCTCTGTGTTCTGTGTCTTAGTACAAAACACTTGGTAAATTCTCTCTCTCTGTCGTGTTTGTGTCTCATTTTGCCACAAATTTCACCCGAGGGATCATTTCCAACTTTGTCTGATTTGATCAGAGGAGTTTGTGGCGGTGAGATTGGTGCAGAGACTCCGACACACGCTGCACAGGAACAACACGTTGCCTTCAATGGTTTCCAGTTGAAGGCCAAACAACCGCGACCGTACCAGGACCTGAAATCCCTCGAGGACCCGATCAGTCCAGAAAGACCACATTGCACAAACTCATAAATATCACGTCAAGTGAAAAACAGGATTTTTTTTTCATCAAGATCCCAAAAGTCCAACTAACAGACATGTCCAACATTCACTAAGACACAAGACATCACCTGCATTGTTGTTTGACATAAAGTCAGAACTTCAGCTTGTTCTTGTTCTGCTTGACTTTGTTTACGTGAAGTTGTCGAGACGCTAGTTAATCATCAGAAACATTTCCGGGTGAGTTGATGCATTATGCTTGTTAGCGTCTATGCTGCAGTGAATGCGAAACCTCGTCAGACTCATGGTTCTTTCTTTCGTCTCCGGCTGCACGTGTACAGCTGTGTGTGTGTGGCACGAGTAACATTACTACTCAAAAGCAGTAAACTACTCGGAAACTTAGCATCTCTACAACAACGTCACAAATCAGCTTCAGTAACTTAACGTCACATTTAAAACCCAAGGATAGCGAAAGCAAAGAAAACGCAAACCTTCCCGAGGAAAGTCCGAAGCAAAGAGGAACTTGACGGAAGCGCGGGAAACCGCCCGCTTCCCTTCTGAAAATAATCCCTTTGAGTATTTTACCCCCTTTAGACATGTTCCCTTAATATAAAGCCCGACCTGCCTGTTTACAGAACTGTAGAAGAACACACGAACAAGATTTCAACAGTTGTGATGAAAAAAATAAACATAACAGCCGAAGTTACGATCTGCATATTTCAAAATAAAGGTCTCTGCGTCAAACCGTGTTATTCCGTCCTGTTCACAACAACAACATCTCACTGCTACATGTGCGAGAAGAGAACTCATTTTTACAACGGTGGATAACGCACCCCGCCTGTAGGGGGCGCCGTAGTTTAGCCGAGTGTCGCTTTAATCTTTCTGTGCTTTGAGTGGCGGCGTCACAACCGTCACGTTCTCAGGTGAAGAGGACAAAACAGACGCAACATTATCACTGTAACGTTACCTCCCACAAAGTTTTTCTCCAGGTAATCTATGATCTGGTTGTAGTCGCTGATGATGGTGTCGCCGTGGAGGAAGACGGGCACCTCCTCGCCCAGGTTCAGCCTCATGAACCACGGCTCCTTGTGCTCCTGCAGCGGCAAGCTCACGTCCCTCTCCTCGCAGATCAGGCCCTTCTCACCGATGACGAGACGAACCTGCAACCGTGAGCACATGTTTAGCTTTTTCTTTTTTCGCAGCAGTGACGGGGTCGTACGAGCAGGATGACACGTTTGGAAGCTGGAGTTTACTTTCACTTTGCTCCGGGAAATAAAACTGGGGAGTGATAAAAAGCAAAAGAAAGGTTTGTGCACACTCAAACTCTAAAGGTTGTTGATCGACAGAGAAGCCGAGGACGGGTCACAGCCAGAATCCTTCTGACGATTACCTGTTCCCAGTGTACGTTATGTTCTTGAAATGATATTTGTGTTTGGGTCAGGTTGATAAATATTACTTACACTGTACTGACGTAAAGGACAAGATAACAAACTCTGGTCGAGCTGAGTTAGTTTTCTCTCAGAAGGATTCAGACAAGAATGCAGGCACAGAACAACACATGGGAACAGCCTGAGCCGACTTGTTTGTATGGTCGCACAAACTTAAGAGGTTCTTTTTTTAAGTGTGTTAATGTTTGAGCAAAAAAACGAGGATATTCAGGATCCGTTGGATCAACGATAAGCCGAGGTCCATGGAGAGCTATTACTGGGAACAAGATTAATGAAAGGAGACGACACTTGGGGTATAAAGCTCCACATTTGGCTGCTTAGCCAGAGCAGCAAAATGGGCGTTTAGCAGAATATGCCCAGACGTGGTGTAATGAATGATTTAGTGACACAGTGATTACAGCAGGACCACGGCGACGGACGGCAGCAACGAGAAAAAAAACCTACGGACGCAGCAGCGACGTCGAAGAAGACAAAAGCTGTTTATATCTTAATCAGCATCAAAGTTGTTCCACATTAAAGAACGTCTGCGTGAAAGTATGTCAGGTTGTTTTTCTCGGGGGGGGGGGGGGGGGGGGTGTCCTTCAGGGTCGTCCACAACAGCAGAGTCACCGTTTGTTATGTAATGATATTAGTCACTGCTCGGTAATGATGCCGAGTAAGTTCAGCTGCCCGAGAGAAACAGAAACACTCACTTCATAATGTTCAGTAACTCAGCGCGGATCTGCACGAGAGTAAAATATCGAATCACATTTTATTTTATCACATCTCAGATCTTAAACCTCAACAAGAGGAAAACCACCAGAAAAACATTAACAGGGGAAAAGAAACGTAAAATATACAAGCAATAGAAAATATACAAGTACTGTCATTAATTATTGAGGTAATTATACTCGAGTATTTCCAATTTATGCAACTTAACTCCACTGCATCTGACAGCCGTAGTTCAGACTTCACACAAACTGACAGATCATTGAAATATAATGTATTTTATAGATTTAACTTCACAGCATCTATCTCATAATTCCAGAAACACTCGGTGACTCCACCGGTGTGAACTGAATCACCTCCACATCAACGCCATCACCGGGACAACAGAGCGTTCACCTCAACAACAAACTGGACTGATCCACCAACACAGACACGTGTCCCGTAGGGGTCGTCTCCATCTGCTGAGGAGGACTGACGTCCTCAGAGTGCGCAGGACACCATGAAGGACTTTCTTCTGCAGTGTACTTCACCATTTCCTGCTGGACGCTGAGAGGGACGGGTCCTTCTGATGTCAGAATGAAACATTTCAATACCGACCTGGTTTTCCCTCTTTACGTTATAACATTTCTATACAAACCACTTCTGCAGCGGCAGAATCATTACTTTTAATACTTCAAATACAATTAATACTTCTGTACCTGAAGTAATCAGAGTACTCCCGACTCTGCAGTAAATAAATATGATTTATGTACTTGGTTGTTTTGGTACATTTATTAAAGTACATCTTCCTTCTCTGGTTGTTGGTGCAGCCTGACGTTGAAAACAACGTGAGGATAATTCCTCACACATGCCGGCATCACGACAAAGTGTTTCTCTCTCACAGGCGGCAGATTGAAGGTGTAAATCTCCGCAGGCCTCCACGCTGCCAGTGCTGCATTGATCTGGCGCTGTGGCCTCTACATGTGCCGTCGCCGCGGGCCGTCTGTCCCTGTCTTTATCGCGTCTGTTTACGATGCATCTCTCATGAGCTAAATGAACGTACGTCCCCATTTCAGCCCACGAGAGCTTCGGTGGCAGGACTGTAAACACGGAGGAGAGGGAGGAAGTGCTGTGCAGGAGAAGTTCAATATCATCTTTCCTCCTGAAGTTGCTGATGCAAACAAAGACCTGTCAACGATCCCCCGACCGTCTGGCGACCATCGTGTCGCTTTCTGCTTCGCTCAGTGTCTCACGTTAGAAACGTCTCTTTTCAGAGGAGGAACAAGTGTTTTGCAAGTCACGAACAACCGACTAAATATAACACGAACCCTTCATGGTGCTGCAGAGAGATTTTGACCAATCACATCGTGAGCGTTTGAGTTCTGTCAAGTCCCAAAAATATGCAGCAGAGTTCTGGTGCAGTGGACGAAACTAGTGCTTGGCCTCTTAATCTCCTGAAAGCCGCCCCCGCCCAAAACGCCATTTAAAGCACGCATCAGCTCGCAGGACAACAAATGTCACACACCATTGTACAAATACACACAAACAGGATCGCTGTGTGTGTATTGTTGCCCGATGGTCCGTTCACGCGATCGTGGCGGAGATGACCACAGTATCTTCAGCTGAGTGACGGCCGCTCTGACTGTGAGCCGCCCAACAAGCCTCATCACTGACGCAGCAGCCTGAGACGTCGCTTTAACTAAAGGCTGTTGATGGACGGAGAGAATAATGAGCTTTAAAACACTCCATCGCTCCGGATTGACCTTCGTCCTCGGCGTACACTCGAGTTCGGCCTAAACACGTGATGACGCTGACGTGCACAACTGAGGTTATGTCGCTAACATCCTCTGGTGGCCGCTAACACCTGCTAACACCTGCTAACACCTGCTAGTTTATACTTAAACCTTCAGACGTACAAGAGATATTCACCATCTCATCCTTTATTCTAAAGAATGTTAAACACATGCTGGTTAACAGGATAATTGAAAAACTACAGGACGGGTTATCACGACACGTGGAGGAAGAACGTGAGTCGGAGAAGAACTTATTAAATGTTTTGTCGCTTTCTTTAACAATGTGAGATTTTTCAACTTGAACTCTAGAGATGAAACTGCTGATGACACAGATGTGATAGAATTAGTTTCTCCACTGAAACAAAACAGGAAACTTAAACTTTTAGCTCAAAATCGAAGTTGAATCTAAGTTAGCTCCACCGCTAACACCTGAAAAAACATTTCTCTGTTGGGTTTTTTTTGCTTTTCGTATCTTCTTATTTCACTTTCTCCACAGAGGAGGTTTCCCTGTAATTCAGTGTGAAACAGTTAAATCAACAGTAAGGTGTCAGGATCAGGGTCAGACGAACAGAACGACCTCAGGCTGCAGGACTCTGCTCTCTTTCTATTGGACTTGGGGGGGGGGGGGGGTCTCCTCCATCATACAAAGTCTTTGAGACTCACACAGCTTCAGTTTGGGACGGAGAGAATATTGTGTTCACTCCCAGTG